GGAAGGAGAAGAGAGAAGAGGAGAGAAGGAAAAGCGGAGGAAGGAGGAGGGGGTGGGGGGAAGGAAGTGATGAGCGGCCTGTTTTCCGTGATTTACGTTTGCATTCCCATTTAGTTATCAGAACTGTGACGTTTAGCTGACACTGAACTTTTTGTGCCTAGGCCCCAGGATCTGTGGCAACCAAATACATTCAATGTGCAATAATGATGCCAGTTAAATGCAGGCCAAATCACTGGGTATGTGGGGAGTTGTTGAAGGAGAAGGTTGAGTCCACCAAGGTATTGTGACTCCAGCAGAGGCATGCTGCTTTTCTGGCTCCTGCAGCCCCTCCGCCTGACTTCTCAAACTCGCATTCACGTGGGGACAAGGAAGCTGAAAGCTGCATGCTGAGTGGGCCTGGTGTAAGATCATAAAAGGCCACGGACTCTTGGCTTCAGTGTCAGGAGGTAATAGGGAGTCGTGGGGATTATGGTAAAATGGAGCCCCCGTGTCGCCCTCTGAAGAGGCAGCACTCCTTAGCTCCAGCCTGTTTGGTCACGTGTCACGTGATAGTGGTCTCTGTGTTGTGGGGCCTTCTAATTTTTCACAAGAAGGCAGAGATCCCATGTGCAAGCAACATTCGATGGGCCGTTGAAACGCATCTGCAGGCTGTCTCTTCACTGGACCACAGCTGTGTATTTCCCTGAATTGCAAACAGCAGACTGATCTTTCCGGGGCTCCCTTCTCTTTCCAGGCCATTACATTTACGTGGACACCTCCTTTGCCAAACAGGGGGAAAAGGCCGTGCTGCTAAGTTCTGACCTACAGGCTGAGGAATGGAGCTGCCTCCGACTGGTCTACCAGATAACTGCGTCTTCAAGGTTTCTGTCAGATACCAGCCGGCTGAACCTCTATGTGAGATTTGAAGACGAAAGCTTTGATCGCTTGCTTTGGTCAGCTAAGGAGCCTTCTGACAGCTGGCTCATAGCCAGCTTGGACTTACAGAACACTTCCAAGAAATTCAAGGTCGGTGGAATTTAGGCACATGGCTTATCACGTAGCATTGTGCTATTCTGAGATCGTATGCAACCTTCTGCCACTGAAGGTAGTTATCTCCTATGTTAGGATGCACTGCCTCATGAGACATGCATCCCAGGGTGGCTCAGTTGGTTAAGCGTCCGACTCTTGGTTTCAGCTCAGGTCACGATCTCATGGTTTGTAAAATTGAGCCCCACATCAGGCTCTGCGCTGACAGCACAGAGCCTGCTTGGGGTTCTCTCTCTCTCTCCCCCTCCTCCACATGTGCTCTCTCTCTCTCTCTCTCTCTCTCTCTCTCTCAAAAAATAAATAAATAAATAAACATTTTAAAAAAGAGATGCATCCCAGAAGAAAAATAATAATTAATATATAGCAAATTGATACTTTGCTTATTCTTTAAAAGAACTTCTTCCCAGATTTTTTTCTTGTCTATTTAAGTGGGACTTCTGTGAGAATCCAAATGGACCTAAACCAATCTCTTCAATGGAAATTTGCTTTCTAATGGGCTTTTGGGAGCCTTCTCACTTCTTCTTTTTTTTTTTTT